TCCTCGCCGTTGCCCGGAGCTCCGTATGAGAATTTGATAAGGCGCCAACGCGATGGTGATACCCCGGAACACAGCCCGCGCTCAAGAGTTCACCGTTAAAGGATCGCGAGATAAGGAGAGACCGAGGTTAGGCGATAAAATAAAGTCAAGTTACTGTACAACGTTAAAAAAATGCAAGTTACATCTTATCTAAGATGCATTTTTATCTAAAAAGTTTATCGTGTTATCATTTTTGCATTTAAATCGTGTGTTCAAATGTTAAAATTTTCTTGTGCTACCAAGATTTAATTTATAGTTATATCTACGTTAACATGATAACTTGGCGCACTCTATGTATGTACGTCATTTAAAAGTTAAATATCATTTTGAGTTCTTTTAACACAACTATTTCACAAAATCAACCAAAATATGCAACATCGACCTTTCTTAAAAATTATTTTAACTAATATTCTAATTTGTCACTGTTCGTACAGTTTACTTATCCCGTCTGCTTTTATACATCACTTGAGGTTAAACGAACATAAATGTGAAGTGTAGTGTTAACCAATTAACATTTATAATTTGTCAAAAAGTAACACACACGATGAATGCTATTTTAATTTAAAATGCAGAATGGACTTTTTGGGACACGTGAAAAATGTTAACATTTTTTACGGTATAATACGTGGTCGGGCAACGAGTAACACAGTAATATCTAATTTGAAAAGCATCATATAAAAGCCCATAGACGTTACAACATTAATGGTCTTACGATTGGGTGTAATTTAATGTAGCGCTTGAGAGAATTAGATAGATCTAAAGGGGAGAAAGTTTGAGAGAACAAAAAGAGAGCCTCTTCTCAGGCCTCTTTCTCCTTCAAGTTACTGTACAACAACTTCAGTATTTTCTTCAACATATCTGGCATTTTTAATAATACAGAAAATTTATCGCGAAAAATACCTCAGCCAGGGTTTGAACCTGGACTTCCCTACACTCTAGGCGGGCGTCTCACCAATTCGACCACTGAGGTACGTTATGTACGACGTTAAAACAAATGCATATTACATCTTACCTAAGATGCATTGTTTTATCCAAGAAGTTTATCGTGTTATTATTTTTTCACAATACGTGGTCGGGCAACGAGCAACACTGTAATATCTAATTTGAAAGGCATCGTATAAAAGCCCATAGACGTTACAACGTTAAACATTAATGGTATTACGACTTGATGTGATTTAATGTAGCGCTGAGAGAATTAGATAGATCTAAAGGGGAGAAAGTTTGAGAGAACAAAAAGAGAATTTAACGTGACGGGTTAATACTACACGCCTCTCCTCAAGCCTCTTTCTCCTTTCTCGCAACTCGTTTCGTTTTCTTCCTCGCAGCCGCGCGAAAGCAAGACAGGATTGGTAAAATGAATCGTATCGCCTCGAGGAAACGTATTTCTCATACCTTATTCCCGCTGCTTCTTACCGTCGCCTTTTTTCATCACGGTTTGATTTGAACCTGCTCCCCCCCGCCGAAGTTGCGGGCGGGAGGCACGCACATAGCCCGCAGCTGTTCTAGCGCGGTGGGCGCTTAAAGGAGAGCACGAGAATTATCGGGAAGGGAAAAGAAACGCGAGGAAATTTTGCGCGTCTCCCGCCCGGAATGATGAATGAGCCGCTTTATCCATTCTACTCTCAGATATCGTTCCGACTATTAAAAGAAAAGGGACGCGCGAAATTCAACGGCGGCGAACGTGACGAGGCCGCCCTCCATTTTCGTTTGGGATTCCGCGCGTGTCTGCCGCGTGTTGTTGCTGACTTTCGGCATAAAATATTCATCGTCGCCGTACGATTTAAATAATGCAAGGACGTTTGCGGCGAAGGCAAGCCTCGAGAGCGCGAGGTTGCGTCTCGCCCTCCCCCCCCCCCCTCTCTCTCTCGCTCGCTCGAGTCACTCGCATGGAAGTACAGATTTGTAAGAGAATTTTTTTCGTGCAACGTCTGTTCTCACTAACGACACTTTCTTCGGGGTTCGACGACCTCGTCTGGTCTCTTTTGCGGCAGGCATCGAATCGATAACGGACGGATAATCCAATACGGATGCAAGCCACCCCCGAGAAGAGAATGGAAAGGTATCACAGAGGAAGGTCCGTGTACCGGCTAATCTCCGAGCGGCCGTGTGTGCACCGGTATCCGGCCAAAGTTATCAAGGCCCGCTTTTCGATCTCGCCGCCGTGAATCTCGAAGAAACGGATGACGGGACGCGGAAAACACAATTTTCCCGACAATATGCTCTTCCGGGCGGACGGGAGGCAATCAAGCGTCTGTTAAGGGGATGCTGGAGTGATTCTGCACCTCTCGCACTTTTTGAATCTAAAATTGTCGATTCGTGAAAGCATTTGTGTAATATACAAATTATGTGGCTTTTGTGTACGAACCGACAGTGACCATTATTCGGACTAAATAAAAGAGAACATGGTATCATTGAAATTATAGGTTACCTAACCTATAACTTATTCGAGTGAATAGATTTTTTGTTAGGCTTCTACACTTAATTTCAATGATACCATGCTGTTCTTTCACTCGATCTGAATAGTGGGACACTGTCGGTCTGCACACAAAAGCCACATAATTTGTATATTACACAAATGCTTTCACGAATCGACAGTTTCAGATTCAAAAAGTGCGAGAGGTGCAGAATCACCCCAGCGTCCCCTTAAGGGCGCGATCGTCCCGTCTTACGATCTCGCGGCGAGCCCCACCGTCGGCGAGATTGAACGATCTGTGGGAAGACCCGGGCCACCGCCGCCAAATTCGCGTCGCAGATCATGTCTCCTTCGAAACGCGTTTCGTAATTTCGTTACACGTTCGTTTACAGCGCTTGTCGAACGCGCTACAGTCGGGCGCGTCCCGCGTATCCCCGCATCCGAATTTATTACCTGTATCAGCAATGCAAATGAAGACGTATGTACGTGTAGTACGACTGCACGCGCATACATGCGCGTACGTGTACGTACACATAATACGCGTCGCACAATATATGTATTTATATTTATTGACTAAAACTGGCCAATGCAAATGGAGTCTCACATACATCCGGATAACGTATGTCCGCGCGTGTATGTTATATTCACGGTCTAATTCAAAATTTATTCATAGGATAATCTTGTGGAAACGGATAGATACGTATCCGGGCGTAATGTATATTTGAATATTTATATACAATAGGTCTAGAATATTAATTGCGATGTGTGTTTTAGCCGAGTTTGCACAGTTACGCCGGCGTCAAGGGTGAAATTTGACGTGCGGGTTGTGAGGTCCGCGCGAGGTCATCTGTTTATCCCCATATGCCTGTGAATTTCGCTCGCGCGTTATTTTGGAGCGAAGGTCGCTCCGGCGATCATCTCGTTACCAGCCGACGAGATGTATCCGACGAGTTATCGAATCGGGGATAATCGACGATTGTTTTATAATTGAGAGCCTGCCTCGCCGAGGTGGGAGCTGCACGATCCGCACTGTGCGCGGTTTAGACAAATGAAGCCGAACGGAGGAGCGTTTTGAGACCCGGCGCTGAGACAGAAAGGTATAACGAGAGTAGTTTACTGCTCAATCGGAGTTCCTCGAGCGGATTCTCCAACTACTCCAATTAACCCGCCGTAAAATCCGATTGTGAATAGGTTCGAGGATAAATTCGGTGCGATATCGATTAACCGTCTAGCCGTGTCAGATCGCGACGGTGAGTTAAGGATCCGTTTAATAGTGCCTTCCCAAAGACGCAAGTCCGTTAATTACGGCGCGGCCGCCGTAGACGGGGGGAACAATTGTAACGCCAACGTGCGGGGCCGCTTTCCCCGCCGGTGGTTTAAATTCGACTTGCCGCGAGGATCGTCGATTCCGCCGATCACGAGCGAGTAAAATGTAACGTACGGATACGCGCCGTTCGTGTTTAAGCACGGTCAGCAAACGTTTAATGCGAGATTGGCCGACGGGACGCAGTTTGCGCTGCGGAGAGAACCGCTACGGTCGTTCAGGGTCCCGCGCAGGAAGCGGCCGAGGGCCTTGATGGGCGTCGTTATGCCTCTGTGAATGGCTATGAGACAAATTACATTGTGGGCGGCACGGGGAATAGGCGCGGGGGATATTTTTATGAGTTGGAGCTCTTAACTGAGGAGAAAAACAAAGGCCTGGACGCCGACCCACGCCTGGCAGGCGCGGGCATTCGGAATCGTCGTTGCATCGATTGCGCTTTCTCTCTCGCGCGTATCCGTCGTACTCTCTAGAGGTCAATCGGTGGTTCATCACTGAAAACAGTGAATATTCGCTGATTCACGGCTATGACGCGCTGGTTGACTTTTAGAGAGTACGGTCTTATTCGTTAATGCCTGGACCTGCATTTTTATCATCATTTTTCTCACACTGAGAAAAATGTCCGATTAAATATAATCGGATAATCCAATTACATAATAACAAACGGATATATCCAATTAAATTGTATAACCGATGAAAAATATAATCGGTTTTTCAGTCAAATTTCATCGGTAACTGCATTTCATCGGATAAATTTCATCGGATGTATCCATAATTTAATCGGAAACACGTAATCGGAAAAATTAACCACCGGGAACACTATTTAATAGGTTTATCCAATGAAAATTTTTCTCAGTGCAGTAAAACTGAGGTCCAGGCATTAATGAATAAGACTGTACCTTTCGCAACTTCGGCAGATGCGACCGTTCGTTCGTCCGTCGCAATTAGAATGGGTTCTTCCTCTTTAAGGACATGCACTTTGTTTTTCCCCGCGAAGGAACTGGGATAGCATCAGATTTATACGGCCCGAGATAAAGTCGGAAGTCGGGAATGTTATGAATTAGGTGCGATAGCCTGAAGGCAATAGCAATATCTTGGACTAGATATCATCTAATATTTCACCACGAGCGAGCTACGCGAGATTCTCGTATTCCAAAATCTCGGAGAGCGACAATTCGTTGTGAGAAACATTTCGCTCGCCTGTCAATCATCTCGCTGGATACTTTCTGATAGACCCTCACGAACGCTCCGAGAGTGAAGTTTTCCAGATGAAGCATACAAATCATCGTCACTTTATTTCTGTACATTTGATTGCGACATTAGCACGTTTCCAAGTGTAAGTTCATAACAGTTGTCACGCCCGCTATCTTCTCGTCGGGTAAATCGGCTCCTCGTCGAACTCGTATTTGTACTTGCCGAAGGGTTGATGATTGTGGATATTGTTCGCCGCCAAATACGCGTATACGCGAGGGTTTCGCGGCCCAGGCACGTAACGCCCGTATCGGGACAGAATGAGGGCTAGAACGGGATTGGGCGGCGGATGTACCTTGCTATTGTAGCTATCGTCGTTTAGAGTACGGCTCAGGAAGCGATCGAGGGCCTTGATGACCGCCGTTAGGTCTTGCGGCCCTCGACGGGGGTAATACGTCGCCGTTTCAACTTTTCCACGATACGGCAGTTGATCGCCATCCAGCTCGTCCGTCAGGTATCCGTCGTGCACTTCGACATCCTGATACGCGAATCGAGGTACGTGACGATGATATTCCCGGATATCTCCCGATAACGCCGTCCTCGTCGTCGACGGTTGCGACGGAGGAGCCAGAGATGCGTTCGGCACTTTCGCCGAAAGCGAAACGTCGTCCTGGTGAATTTCCGCAGGGAACCTTCGAGTACCGAGGAAGAAGATATAATATGATTATGCGCATTTTTTGCGAGAGAGGTGCCACGAGGGTTTTCGTCTCAAAAGGATAATCGATACTATCTAAAAGACAATCAGTGGATTATCGCCGTAAACAGTGAATACACAGAAAAAGAATAAGTGTCAGGCCAACTTTTATATATTCAAATTAACGCGTCATCGTTTTGTATATATGCAAAAATCTGTAATCCTCTTAGAAGCATTTAATAATCTCACATTCCAACAATGTTACAGTCTTATTTAAGTGCTACAATTATTACTTCAAGAATACACAGGGATAGGAAAGTTACTTTTCAAAAGTAACTAGTTACCGTTACAGTTACTGATTTTCGAAAGTAACTCGTTATCGTTACCGTTGCTTAAAAAATAACAATTCGTTACTTCTTTAAGTCTGAAACGAGACATCAGACATATTTTCAAAAGAAGAATATTCTTTTTTTTCTATGTAGTCACTGATTTACACACGGAGAGAATTTTCTCTTGAAATTTATCCTGAAAATTATGTGATCGCAGGACAACGTGACATTTTGAAGAACTTTATGAGAGTTTTTTGAAATTTTACCATACATTTTATTAGTAAAATGTATACTAAGTATAATTACTAGTGAAATGTATGGTAAAGTTTCAAAAAACTCTCATAAATTCTTCAAAAGGTCACGTTGTTCTACAATCGCATAATTTTCAGGATAAATTTTAAGAGGAAATTCTCTCCGTGCAGTATACCACTGCAATTTTCAGTGGTATATTTATAACTGCGAATCAGTAACTATTCACTGATTTCAGTAACAATGCACTGAGTAACTTTTAGAGAGTAGATATTTTAAAATCTCCGTAGATGTTTTAAGATTGGAATAATGTTTAGTTGTATCTTTCAGTATGCGCGCACGGCGTGGTGTTCAAACTTAAAAATTTTACTTGAGGTTTCCTCCCCAAGAGACTCATTGCTGAAAATTGGAGGTTCGCGATAAGTAATCTTCGACTTTTCTACGGAGAAAGAATCGACGATAGAGCGTTGAAAGAATTTTCAAGTTTTGCGCGAGATTTTCAAATTGCCATACCTATATAAGTTACAAGTGTACACGAATATGCTCGTCTCTTGCCGTTTTCACACATTTGCTTAATTTAAGAAGCGAAAGTTCAATACCTCTGAGGACCCGTTTGCAATTTCTGCACGCGATTACTCGAAATTGACGCGGACTGAAGTCCCGCTGGACGCTCCGTCCGTAGATCTCTGGAGAACGTAGGCTTCCCCGGATCGCTGTCGACTGCTCGAAGAGCATCGTATCGATGATTAGGATGCTTCGGAAATGGAGAGCTCGTGACCGGCAGATAACTGTGCCGCGGCACGTTGGCCGGGTCCAAAGATGCCTTGCTCACCAGTATGGCATTCGTCAGGCAGACATGCGTCACCTGCATTCAGGCAAAAGTATGTCTATCAAGGCCCGAACACACGAAAAAACTCAAGTAGTAAAACTTAAGACTTGGACACTGAGAAAAATGCTATGATTGTATCAACAAGACGTGTATGATAGAACGTATTTTGGTTAAATCAAACAGAATTTCTAGATTCACTACACACATCTAGTAAACCCTAAAGGAATTATCATTCGTCCATTTTCTAACAGACGACAGGTTGAATCTACGAGATTTCTAATTAATTCAACCAAATTTTTTTTTCAGTGGAGGGAAATGACTAACTCTCTAAAAGTCAATCAGTGGAGTATCACCGAAAACAGTGAATAGTCACTTATTTACCACTGCAATTTTCAGTAGTGTACTTATTACTGCAATTCAGTGAATATTAAAGTCACTGATTTACCACTGCAATTTTCAGTGGTATACTTATAACTGCAATTCAGTGACTATTCACTGTTTTCGGTGATAATCGACCGATTGATTTTTAGAAAGTTGGTTATTTCCCCCCAAGTTAAGTAAGGCCTTAAGTTTTACTACTTCAGTTTTTCTCGTGTATTCGGGCCTTTGTTCGCATCTGTCTTTCGAAATCGCATTCCCGTCGTGCCGCTCCGCTATTACAGCGGCACAACGCCAGATTCATTTTAGGACCAGGGTCGATGCACCTAGACAACCCCCGAGCCAAGTTCACGGCACCGATAGCAGATTTCAAGATTATCCGACCTTCTACTTGGAGATAATACTATAAATTGTAAATACAAATAATTTTCATTCGCTGTTCAACTTCACACGCTCAACTCCGCATACTTCACAATGTCTCTCACGGCGCACACATCGTCGTTTTATTTAGGACGATGTATTTACTCTTGTGTATTATCACCACACGCAGTTTCGTGAATTGTACGCGTCGCGAGACGCGATAACTCGGAACTCTCGTTACCAGACAGACAATGCCGATTTTCTTGGCAACCGCCATCCTCCTTCTATTTCGTAAAAAGGACTAAAACGGCGGCACGCACTCCGCGTGCCATTTATACAGCGTGCCGTCGCGTCTGCTTAAAAGCCAAGTCTTGTCCTGGCCAGGAAATGCGTAGAGCGATGTTACTCCCGTCTCTGTTCTTTACACGGAGATTTCTACACTTTCCCCCCTTTTCCTGTGTCGAGACCGGTATACGCGCCATTCACGCGAATTGCGAAGCGTTATTAGGAACTTTCCTTTTGTTTCCGAGAAGACAGTCGCGAGACGAATTCTGCGTGACGAATAACTTCTGCTTCATTTAAATTTCTTTCGTCGCTCCTCTTTATGCTGTCGAAACGGCGAACTTTTCTGCGGGTTGCGCGGATGCACTTTCGAATTTAGAGTCGAAAATAACTCTCATCTCTTGGAGGAATACGTTTTTTTACGCGGAAGAAGCAAACTAAAATTAAAATCATTGACCAGCCATTAATGATTGTTAATTAAATAAACGCTGGTTTTAATCGAGAAAGTCAACAGGACGGAATATTTTGTTGCGAGAAAAATTACATTACTCGATCGGCGAATGATTTATCCATATACTTTTACAATCATTGCGCGATGAGTAAAAAATAATTGTAAACATGTTAATTTCTATCTCTTTTGAATGATAAATAGAACCGACAAAATGGTGACTCGTTCGATGGTCCTATTTTGTTTCGTATTCTTCCTCCAGAGTGCACAACGTTACAGTCGACATTTTCTCGCGAACACGCAATGAATGAAGGATCGAGAAGCTCTTGGAAAATATGCGATTCCTCGTAATTTCTTTGATCGACTGTTGGTATTTTGTAAAAAAATATGTAAAATTACACATGATAAGTGTAACGATTTATACACAGTAATAACGGCAATATATAAATGTATGTACTTTTACCAAAAAATTTTTTTTATTCTTTGTTGTGTAAATACTTGTTTATACTTGATGAAAAATTACAAAAAAATTGTAAAATTTACACAATCAAAAGCAAGCAGTTTACTTATTACGTAAGGTCATAATTTTATCTACAAGGTGTAAATTTACTGACCTATGTAAATATGCACCTTTAATATGGTCTCAACATTACCCACCATAATAATTTTTTTACAGTGTACATACATTATACATACATGATTTAGAGAGACCTGCGAGTAGATTAGAGTAAACGGAGTCTATCTAAAACGGACCCCGGTAAACAATTTTTCATGCATGAGCATGAATAAATACATATACATATGTATAGAATTATATAAAAATATACATCAAATATGTCCATACATATATTTTTACATCGTATATTTCTATATAATTTTATATAATTCGACACATATATAATTTTATAGATTTATACATGCTTTTATATAAAAACTTTTTAAAAGCGAAAAAAATTATTTATAATTACATATAAACTTTGTACAATTCTCTCTCTCTATACAATTATACTATGTAATTACAAATAAGCAGTTTTTCACATGTAAAAATTTTTCATACAAAATTGTAAAATTTTTGTATCAAATAGGAATATTCGCGTTTATAGGCGAGAGCTTTATTTGTGAAAAATAAATAGTATTTTTGTCGTTTTTGTTGTAAAATCGATAGTTTCTTTCTTCACTTCTATGCGTAAATTATTTTATAAAGGGCTAACTGTTTCAAGTCCAGGACGGATGTCTCATAAATATTTTATTCTTTTAATTTTTGGTCCTTTTCTTTCTTCATTTTTATACGTAAATTATTTTATAAAGGGCTCACTATTTCAACACCGCAACGGTTTAAATGTCTCGCAAATATTTTGTTCTTTAATTTTTGGTTCTTGATAACAAATCCTTTTTCAGGGTGCTGTGGAAATCGAGGTAACTATGTTACCCGTCGGAAATATTGATTACCTGGCCACGTAGTTCAAGGAACATGGTTCGTGGCGCCAGTGAGTGAGACGCAAAGTTCTAGGGGATCTGAATCCGCGTGTCGTTATTGGCTCTGAAATTGCTGGTTCCAAGTTTAGTTCCAGTCGTTCCAGTCGCAAAGTTCTAGCGCGGACAACGACATAGGTATTCGCCTTGACGAGAACGTCTGTTGAGAATGCGCTTGTGGTGCCAGTTGAAGCTCGTCTTCCCGCCAAATTTCCGTCACGCTTGTTTACAGCCTCAGCTTCGATTTATCCGTACTTTTACTAAGTACATAGCGTGTCTTATAATTTATTGAAAACAAAAAATGGATGCTGCGCCTCTACAAGCTGTTCGAGCACGTGTACGAGATGAGGTCGGGGTCAAGTGTCAAAAGTTGTTTCAGGATTTCCTGGAGAGGTAACTTTCTATAGGTTGAATATCTTCAACGTTCCGTCATTCGACCTGGGGGTCAATTCTGTATCTTACACTATAGTGAAAATGCTAAAAGTCTCTCTTTAACCGTCCCCTTAGAAAGAGACAAAGCCGCTCACTTTTAGCACTTTCACTATAGTGTAAAATACAGAATTGACCCCCTGGTCCATTTTATTCGGACTACAGCTGAAACTTAATGATATCGTTTCCTCCGTTGACTCTTTCTATCGCAGATTTAAGGAATTCGAGGTTGTTAAGTATCTGGAACCAGCCAAGGAACTTGCCAGTCCAGAACGCTGCACGCTGGAGGTGTTCTTTGACGATACGGAAGCATACAATCAAATGCTCGCCACTACCATAATCGAAGAATACTACAGGTTGTGCGATCAGTAATCGCTATCTTTTTTTTTTCACTCGAGAGAAGCAAAAGCAAAGATTGTTCTTCTTCCAGGGTATATCCGTTCTTGTGTCAAGCAGTGAGCAACTTCGTTAAAGACGTGGGAAATTTGTCAAAGGATAAAGAGTGCTACGTCAGCTTTACCGAGGTACCTATCAGGCATAAACTGCGAGAACTGAATACGTCGCTGTTGGGCACTCTGACTCGTATATCTGGACAAGTAGTGCGGACGCATCCTGTTCATCCGGAACTGGTCCTTGGCACGTTTATTTGTATGGACTGTAACGCATATATCAAAAATGTGGAACAGCAGTTTAAGGTATACATAATATAAACGGTGGCCACTGATTAACTTGGATTCAGTTGTCTTTAGCTTCCGTCGTTTTCAGTTTACGAATCCCACGATCTGTTCCAATCCGGTGTGCAGCAACAGACGCCGCTTCCTGTTGGACGTGGATAATTCGGTGTTTGTCGACTTCCAAAAGGTGAGAATTCAAGAGACGCAAGCTGAGCTCCCTCGAGGCTCTATCCCTCGCTCTGTCGAAATCATTCTGAGATCTGAGATAGTGGAGATGGTACAAGCCGGCGACAGGTGGGTTCAAACGGTTCAGACGTGTTGACGATTGAAATTGTGAACTTGAATAAATCCCTTCTTATTTTTACAGATACGACTTCACGGGAACTCTTATAGTAGTGCCGGACGTAGGGGCGTTAACTTTACCGAGTGCAAAGACAGAGATGGGGCCGAAAAATAGAAACAATGATCAGAGGGAAGGTGTATCCGGCCTCAAGGCACTCGGTGTCAGGGAACTGACGTATAAAATGGCATTTCTTGCCTGCAGCGTCACCAATACGAGCGCAAGGGTAGGCAAAGTCCATCAAGTAGATGAAGTAAAATACATACGCGTTTATCTCTTAAGAAAAAAAAATATTTGACTTATTTTGTATCGCGTTACAGTTCGGAGGAACGGATGCAATGGAGGAAATTTCGCAAGAAGCGATGAAGAAACGAATGACGGAAGCGGAATGGAATCGCATCTACGAGATGAGTCGGGACAAAAATCTGTACACGAATATAGTTTCCAGTTTGTTTCCCGCTATACACGGCAACGATGAGATTAAGAAGGGGATCACGTTGATGTACTTCGGCGGTGTGGCTAAAACTACGGAGGAGGGCACGTCGCTGAGAGGAGACGTCAACGTCTGCATCGTCGGTGATCCCAGCACCGCGAAGTCGCAGTTTCTCAAATGCGTAGCCGATCTGTCGCCCAGAGCAGTTTACACGTCCGGAAAGGCATCGACCGCGGCTGGTTTGACGGCTGCGGTTGTACGAGACGAAGAATCCTCGGACTTCGTCATAGAGGCGGGAGCGTTGATGCTCGCCGATCACGGCATCTGCTGCATCGATGAATTCGACAAGATGGATCCGAAGGATCAGGTTGCGATTCACGAAGCTATGGAACAGCAGACCATTTCGATAACTAAGGTATTTAATTTTTAAACCTATAGTGCACTGAGAACTTTTGCACTCATCCACATGCGTTTTCCAGGCCGGCGTAAGAGCGACCTTAAATGCTCGAACTTCTATACTGGCGGCGGCGAATCCCATCGGTGGACGATACGACAGAAGGAAATCATTGCAGCAAAATGTGCAGTTAACCGCGCCTATTATGTCGAGATTTGATTTGTTCTTTGTAGTGTTGGACGAATGTAACGAGATCGTCGATAACGCGATTGCCAAGAGAATCATAGATTTACATTGCGACAACTTGAACGATCTTCAGGTGATATACCAACAAGATGAGATCATTAGATATATCAATTTTGCTAAGCAGTTTAAACCCATTTTAAGTCAGGTAAGCTACATCGGAATACATTTTTTTTTAGCTACATGAAAAATTACATTGATTAACTTTATCTTATTTTTGCAGGAAGCTGCTGAGCTTTTAGTTGAAAATTACACGGTTCTCAGACAAAGAACAGGTAGTGGAAGCGGCAAGTGGAGGGTCACCGTGAGGCAATTAGAAAGCATGATTAGATTGTCCGAAGCATTAGCGAAAATAGAATGCATGGACGAGGTGACGGTGAAGCACGTCAAAGAGGCGAAACGATTGTTGCAGAAGAGTATAATTACAGTAGAACAGCCTGACGTCGACCTCGAAGAAGGCATGAACGACGCAAACTTAGGAATGGACATCGATGAGCCGCCACCGCTCATGGCAGCATTTAACGCTGAAGGCAACGACAATGCACCACCTTCGACACGTATATGTCTACATATTTCTTTTGTTACATATCTTATTGTCTTAATATACATGCTTATTTGAATATGTACATCGATTGTTTAGCGCCTAACGAAACGTCGTGCGAACCGCCGAAGAAAAAATTAACCCTGTCCTTTGAGGAGTATAAGAATCTGTCGAATATGTTAGTCCTTTATATGAGAAGCGAGGAAAATCGTGTCGAGAGTGAAGGTACTTTTATTACTATATTGATGATAGAAATAGAAAAATGTTTTTACTTTATCTGTTAAATTGATATTTGTTAATAGACGACAATAAGGGTGGTATACGGAAATCCGAATTAATTGCGTGGTACCTTGATCAAATACAAGATCAATTAGATTCAGAAGTGGAGTTACTAGAGCGGAAAAACTTTATTGAGAAGATTATTGATAGATTGACGTACCACGTATGTATTAGCGGTCTCGTATATTTATAACTGGCACGTTTACATCTTGGAGTGATTTTTTGCACAATTTTATACTTTTAGGATCAAATTATAATACCTCTAACAACAACCAGCTTGAGAAGCAGAGACAAAGAAGACGAAGAAGAGGAGGATCCCTTACTCGTTGTTCATCCCAATTATGTCATGGATATATAATTTTACGAATCGAAGTGCCTTAAGACACAAAAGGAAGAAACAATTGATTATTTTATTTAAAAAATTCGTATTAAAAAAATATTCTTTTATCCAAATATTAACGTCATTTAATCTTAGTATTAATGTCATATTTTTTTACCCGAATTCTGTAAATGTTATAAACTTTATGGAATTCTTTTAACTACGGTGACGACGATATAAACGCATTTTTTATAGCATCGTTAAAGCATTCATTCATTCCTTATACTTCGCTTAAGCATCTCAACATGGGGGGTATAAACCACTTGTTTGCTATGACCTCACGTATTTAACATTGCTCATACATGAAATGAATGAATAAATCAATCTGATCGTGACATGTGTCGAGATATGAGCAATATCTTCGTTAATATCTATTTCTTAGTATTTCATTTCCTACTTTTCACAAGGCCAAGGGTGCAAAGATTAAAATAATAAATACAGCTATTACTCGTTCAAACATAGCGTGCTCTCTATTCTCATGGATCATAGCGCGCATAATCTCGACTCGTACCTATTTCAAGAGTGCGCTAATTAACATGGTGCAAGTCATGATAATTAGCGTACCATGGCTTACCATGGTGCGCTAATTAACACGCATTTCAATGCACCTGTTAGAAAGTGAAGCCATCTGTTCTAGATCGAATGTTAAAATTAACAATAGCTTTAGTAGTTTCAGTAGGCTTGGACCGTTTCAACTGCATCTGCGATATTAAAAGAGATATTTATATAAACGCTTAGTTCAGTTTAAACCTAATAAATGCAACGAATTTTTACGCTTCAAAAATTATACTTTTGCTACAAAGACGTTCGCGTGATCTGTTAATGGAAATCCTTAAATTATAATCTTTAAAACCTTGTCACATGATTCGCAATAGTTTGTATTTCAAGAAATGTATAGTTAAGTGTGGAGTCGACTTTACTGGCAAACTCTTTATTCAGAGGTAGTTTTACAACGTTTCGGCCAGTAATACTGGTCCTCTTCAGGTGACGAATTTACATAAGTACCCGCAAATGTCTACAGGGACAAAAGAAATTTCGTATAAGCTAATGTGTATGGTTAGCAATTTATGTACGGTTAGCGTTAAAAAGTTCTTCATGTATATATAATAAATTAAACCAAAAAACGTAGAGATAAAAAGAAACGAAGAAAACTTACAAGGTTCGTCGAGATAAAAGATGTGAAATAATGTCAAAGATTAAAAATCGTCGTTGTACATTGTTTTTAGTCATCGGAGTCAGAGCACAGAATATAGACAGCAAGTGACAAGAGAGAAGCGCGAAAGTCATAGGTGAAACCAGTAAATAAATATAGGTAGGGGTGTAGATATATTAAGTTATTCTAATGATCCTATCGTATATTGAGTTGAGATTGTCCGTGTCTCTTTGTAAGTTGATGGTGTTGTCTAGATGTTTTTTTATATGAAGAACATCTCGGCAATCTCTCTCTGAAGTGTGGTTCTTTATGTAAAATTGATGGTCTGTTCTAATCGAAATCGTGATTATATTCAGTGCGATGTTTGCTGATAACTGATTGAGAGGAACTTGGTTTCGAAATGTCTCTCCTATGTTCTTTTATGCGTGTCTCTACATGTCTCTTTGTCTGTCCAATGTATATTGAGTCGCAATGGTTGCAGTCGATTTCATATACTAGTTCTGTTTGTTTGCCATAGTCAATTTTGTCTTTACCTTTCCTTATGATGGTGTCTAGCTTTTTTGGGACGGTGTATAGAACTTTAAAGTTTAGGTCCTGTAAGACATTACTGATTGATTCACTAATCTTTTTTATGTACGGTAGAATTATGAATTTTTTCTGGTTGCTATTGTTATCAGTTGTATTGTTGAAAGTGTGGTTGTTCTTATCTTTGGTTTTATTAAGAGGTTCCTTGTTTTGTCTCAGGGTTATTATTCGTTTATTGATGTGTTTGTTAATTAGAGGAAGAGGGTAGGAATTGTTCTGTAGGATGTTTTTTACAAGTTTGATATTTGAATTATGGAATTTTGGTGCAGACAGGAGGATCGCATGGTCTACCAGATTTAGAATAGTATTTATTTTATATTTTAAAGGGTGGCTAGAAAAGAAGTTAATATATCTCCCAGAGAATGTGGGTTTATGATACCAGTTAGTGAATAAATTGCTAACCGTACACATTAGCTTATACGAAGTTTCATTTGTCCCTGTAGACATTTGCGGGCATTTATGTAAATTCGTCACCTGAAGAGGACCAGTATTACTGGCCGAAACGTTGTAAAACTACCTCTGAATAAAGAGTTTGCCAGTAAAGTCGACTCCACACTTAACTATACATTTCTTGATTTCTCAACTGGCGTTGACATATCTGCTTTTGAATTTGTATTTCAAGTTTAATTGTTTATTTAGAGATTGACGCGCGTATACAATCGGCAGGCTGTGTTACTTCTGTACATTTATCAGTGTTTGCAGTTTTAATGCGATGGGGATATAGCACGTGCTTTTATTGCTGCTTAAATGTACACAAACTACGCTACAAGTGTGTTAACTGTGTATGGTGGGGGTGTTCTGTGCAGTAATCAAGAACGTCACTTTGCTATACGATTTTAATATTATTTGTCGATACGCGATGTCCGCGAAAGAGCTGCCGATAGCAGAATTACGACGGGTGAGCGTGGTTCGAAATTTAACACACTTATGAGCGATTGTATAAGTTATATTTTAGTGTCAAGTGCGAAATTATCGACGCGAGGTTCCGTATAATAGCCACCTAGATTATCGTACATCTGTTCTGATAGCTTATTAATGTCCTCAGTGATACGACTTCCGTCACGCGGAACGTATTCGCGAAACATTGCTGTCTTCACCGCGAATTTATTTATCTTTTGATATAAACTAGTAGCTCCTGTTATTTGAACACTTGCACGCACTTAAATTGTATGTCATTTTTGACGTCTCCTTTTGCGATTCAAATCTTTCGATGGTCGACTCAGAACCTTGAATCTCGTGGTGAAAAAGAGGAACGTCACGACGTGACTTTCTTTATTAAAGTTTCCCTCGGAAAGAATTTTATTTTACGTTTTTTGAAAGATGCGCACGAAAAGTGTATTTAAGAGATAAAATTAATCTCCGACAGGATAAAACATGGGTACCTTTCGTAGGCGACTTTGCGCTTTTGAAGGATTTCTTCGCGCAGAAGAGACGGCGAGCGTGGCACGCGGTGCAATTATTTGACGCTCTTCTGCGTGGATTCGGACAGGTGAGTGATCAACTCTGACATATTGCACACGATACTCGACACGACATTGCGAGTCGCATAATTGGTAGCCATCTTTGCGGGAGAATTGAAGAGATATAGTTACATAAATAAGATAATAAAACCGCTAGTAAAAGTACATGGAAAGGAAACACGAGGCTAAATCGCGAGCAAAGCTGGTTGCGCAATTATGAATAATATTCGATAATAAGCGCGTTTTTCTCAACTAAACCAGTTTTACTCGTGATTTGGCCTTGTTTCCTGCACAGATCGTTATCTTCCTCGCAGCGTCCGTGCATAGTTTTACACCTGCAGAAACGAGCAAAGTCCTTACTCATTAGTAAAAAAATGAAGAAGTTGCATCATATATCGTATTTAAAATTCACTTCATTAATTCACCATCATTGAGGAACGTTCGGACGAAAAGTTGCGCCGAAGATGGTCCTTCGCGAATTTGAAGGGAATGCGACGTTCGCTGCGGCAGCAAGATCGGGTTTCGTATTGTAACGTCACGCCGAAACTGCCGCCGGGCACACCTTTAATTAACGTCAATTGTCTCTAATTAACGTTACAGATCGTTTTTGCGAACAATCCTCTCAGCGGGCTGCTGATAATAGTCACCTTGGCTGCGGTGACGCCAGGTACACTGGCGTTGTCCGCGACCACCGCCGGCCTTGGCCTCCTACTGTCCGTGGTACGTTTTATTAATTATTAGCCGCGGTGTCAAGCGGTCTGTTGTTGCCGAAAAGATAGCGATACACTTTTTGCCGCATTGCGCTCGAGAGACGGACGCTACCCGTCGCTCTCCGCCGTCGCTATTCATACGCGACGGTGCACCGCGACGAGCGCGCGCTGTATCTCTTTTTCATCTCTTTCGGACTTAATGGACCGTTTGCGTGCCGCATACGGGGAAAAATCGCCGCAATGCGGCACCGCAAGTCGCCCGGCAGCGCGCGACCCGAGGAGGCTTCCGGAATTCGCGCTCTTTCGAGGGCGACGCTTAAGAACTCCCGCCGTTCCTTTGCAGCTGATACGGGAACCCGACGCTATCGTCGAGAACGGGTTAAGCGTCTACAATCCCCTGCTGGTCGGAGCGGTGTCGTACGATCTGATCCCGCAAATTTACGGAGGCTTCGATTCCTTCAGCTCCCTACTCCTGCTCCTGGCTACGATACTCAGGTACGCGTCCAATTGTCTCGCGTTCTCGCGCGGTATATCTGGAAAATATTACACACGGCGCGGGTAATAAACCGCGAATACTTGGATTGTCGTAAATTGTACAATAAAATGAGACTCCGGGTACAACACAGCTACGCGGAAATGATAAACGGTACGAATACGTTTCCGGGAATAAACGCGCGCGGATAAACGTGTGACGCTGATATCGATATACGCGTAAAATAATCCCGCGGATAAACAAATTATTTATTTATAAATAACATCTTGATGACGTTTAATTAAGCCGAAATATACATGCAAATTAATGTAAATCGACGTTGATAATTATGCCACATTGTCGGGGAGAAGGGCGCGGTTTTGCGCCGTTGCACAGTGGGGAAATAACGCCTTAAGCCAGAACTTGATGAATTCAGCATTAACGGATAACATTATGAGTTTAGACAACTCGAAGCTCCGTACGTGTGGAAACTAGCGCGAAACGCATCGTGACAGTCCCTCGGCTTGAGATTCGCGCAAGATATCTGGAGTAATTCGCGACTGGTAGATTATGCGGCAAACCGGATTACCGGAGTTAGCCGGAGTTCACCCGTCATCCGCGCTGCGGTGGCTGAGCGGTAACGTTGACGGCGAATTTCAGCAGCTCCTGGTTAATGTTTTCCAGTGTTTATCTCTCGCGGTCCCTGAGAAGCGATAAATTTCCGTGCACAACGTGGCCATTTAACTTGGTGGAGTTCACGTTGATTTGGGCTCTCATGACGCAGAATGGCGCGGGCATGCTGGCCAAGCCTGCGGAACTGGCGCTCGAAGTGGTAAGTCCACTTGACGTACGTATATGATATTTTTCAGGGTTGGGAAGTAACGAAGTTACAGCTGCAGTTACTTTTTTTTTGGTTACTCCAACTTAACTTGGTTACTTTCTCTCAGTCTGTAACTGTAACTTAACTCAGTTACATTAATACTTTATATATATTTTTAGACCTCCACAGATCGCATTAGGCCTTGCATTTGCGCATAAACGCCTTACAATTCAACTGCAGATTTGATATTTTTATTTCCGTCGCAAGAAAGTAACTGCGAAGTAACGATTTGTTACTTCTTGAGTAACTGTAACTAGTTATATTTTCAGCGAAGAAACTGTAACTGTAAGTAGATACTTTTATAAAGTGACTTTCCCAACTCTGTTTGTCCCAACCCACAAAACATACGTCATTGCATAGAGACAACACGAATTTCAATATAAAAATAACACGAGATCAAGACACGCAATAAAACGATTAATAAACTTCATAAGGCTCTAATGTGAAAACACAAATACGAAGTAATAAAAGAGCAAGAGTCAAGCCAGGAAGTTAGTGTCTCAATAATCTTTAATTTTAAATCTATTACGAAAAATAATACGAGGATATGAACCTGGACTTCCCTCTCTCACAGATATAATAAATATAATTTAATAAACTTAGGTGGAATAGGAGAAATAAATGTTCCGAGATGTTTCAGCTTTGCAACTTGTCGGCAAAGACACTGTCCTGATCAAAGGAGTCAGGGCTAATAACAAAACTCGTTTAATAACGGCAATCTTTTCAAATATAATTATAATTTAACGAGAGGGTATAAAGAAGGGTTTTGTGAAATACGTCAGAGGTGTTTTATTTGACGAATACCACGGTCGTTTGAGACAACGGGAAATGAGCGACGGGGATAGAATGACAATTTTAGAGCGTTGGTCCCGGACGAGAGTAAATTTGACGAGAATAGGGCGGAGGCTTCGACGCGGAATAAAATTCGCTTGGAAAAGCGCCCTCAGTATTCAGACCATACATATTTGACGTGCCTTCACGAGGGAGAATGCTATCCTCCGTGGGTAGGAGCACGGCTTTTCTCCGTATTGATCAAACTCCAGCACGAACAACTCCGTCGACGATAACTTACCTCGGCTCGGATTTATTTCACCCTAACTAGTCGCCGGTTGTTTGTTTCAGTTAAATATTGGGCAAGTTCTCGCTCCCTCCGCGTTTCTCTTTTTCGCAGACTGTTTCCCGTTGGCAAACAGCGCTACAACAGTGGAATATTTGAAAATATTGCTCAGTTGGGTGGCTCCCTTCGCGTATATGTAAATATATTAACTCGTCTGCATGGCCGTGCGTGCACGCCATTATTTCTGCTAGCCGCCTGGGTTCTCGCGATAACGCGAAAAATTAACTTTTGCATCTAAAGTTCGTACTTCAAGTCGAACCTCGCGAGCCCCACACGCGGGGTTAATGTCTAAACAGGAGGGCGGGGGGGGGGGGGGGAGATTTGCAAAAATGCTTCTTTCCCAGCTGCGGAAAGTTTCTACCTCGTGTTACAAAAATTTACGGCCGAACTCGATGCGCACCGCGGAACATAAATTATTCCTCCGCGAGGCGTGTTTCGTAAAATAGTTTGAGCCTTCTCTAGGCTCGTCGAGTGACTGCCGTGCTGCATTTCTCCATCATGCGCGGCTTATTGTGCAAGACTCTCTCATTGTTTTCAGCACAATGCAACAAGTGAGACGACGACAACGGACGGCGCCGGTTTCTACGGGCAGAATGCGACCGGCGTTTACGTCGACTGGGGAATGGTAGAGTTTACTCATGTTCCACTTTTTCGAACTTTATATTCTTGACTTCGCATATATTAGCATCTCCGGGGTCTCGGCAAGTGCCACGAGGCTTCATTAGTTACGCAGTTTCGTGCTCCGAATCCGCGATTACTTTTTTACAATTGCAAATTTTATTGCACGAAGCATTTTAACAAACTTTTGAATTTTTTATCGTTTGCACTTTGCTACATTGAGTTCTTCGTTCTATTGATACGATTTTACTAAACAGAAATGCTCTTGAATTTAAATTTATTGAATATTGCAACAATATCAGGCGACGTTTGTTGAAACGGAATATCTCTTTCGCGGTCGCACGGAAATAACTGTGTGTTATACGCGAAGCGTATATAAAAGTAAAATGGAAATAAATATAGCCGTGCTTCTGTTGCTCGAGGGAAATGCCGTATATAAATGGAGATATCAATCTATTTGCTTGCGCTCGAAGTTAAATCGTGTTTCAGGTTGTACATGGCAGCGTTGCCTCCGCGTCGCAGCTGTTCGGAGTCGACAGCGTGATCCTTGGATCCGTCATGTACCTGGCAATGTTAATATACTCGCCTATAACCACCGCGTTTGGGTACTTTGGCGCTCTCTGCGGAACCTTCGCAGGTATTTAAATAATTTTATATAATATCTACCGAGGGGGAAACCGCTGACCAAAATCTTGTACACCAATGCCGCACTAATGTCCAGTGGGCATTACTTGATCTTATTATCTTACTTTATCTTATTTTATCTTTATAATGCCCCAGCAAGGCCTAATGCCCAAACTAATGCCCCAGAAGTGCCTAGTAATACCCAGTAATGCCGCAAATCTGTACACCACAATGCCCTCAGCCTTTTACCCCTCGATATTTACACTGAGAACACTGACGTCCAATCAACGTCGAATCGACGTCAATGGGGTCGAAACCGTCAGTTTTCGAAAATAATTAAAAGTTTTGGAAGTTAATTTTTTGTATTAAATTTTGTATTAAATAAGTTAACTTGGCAGTTCTCTCCACTAAGGTGTTAAAGGTATTCAGAACGTTGAACGTAGTAGTTTAATTTAAAAAATAAAGTTGCGAAACTTAATTATTTTCGAAAACTGACGGGTGGCACGCGATTTCGACCCCGTCGACGTCGATTCGACGTTAGTGTTCTCACTGGGAAAAGGGAGAGAGAGGAAAAGATACAAGACGAGATAAGAGAATCGTTGATCTCGATTAACAAACGTACGTTTAACGGGGCGTACGGGGGTGATTAAGCTCAAGAACTCACCGGCGTGAGTTCTCTCGCGAGGGCTGAAGGCAAGAGCGTTTGTTTCGAGGTAAAAGCGTCAAGTGTATAAACGATCGTCGTCATAAATTTTCCCTGGCCAGGCTTGGAGCTCGGAGCGGACAGACACAAAGCTTACAGCGGCATGTGGGGATACAACAGTCTGCTGACCGGGGCTGGACTGGGAGGAAATCTGCTGGTACTGAACGGTCAGACGGCCGTCGCCGCTATCCTGGCGATTATTTACACTCCGCTCCTGCAGTACACCTTAGAATCGATATTTGTAAAGGTATATAACTCTCTTTCCGCTCGATTAATTCGCAGTGTCCCGCAAACTTTTAACGCTTTATTAATTTTTCAGTTGCAGCTGCCGGTGCTGACGCTACCGTTCGTGATAGCGACTTCGTTGTTTCTAAAATTAAGTGACGGCAAGGAGGATCTAATATTTCCAGGGCCCGTATCGATCACCTTTCCCGAGAAAGAGCGTCATCATTATCTCGCCCGGCGCGCGGCATTTCGAGAGGTACGTATACCGTCTCTCCCGATTTCATATGCTCTCCCGTTGCCGGGCTGTTTCCATGGTCTAGACCCTAGACATAAAATTTTATATTCGCGATGATAGAGATCGGGATAAGCGGAGCCGCTTTATCATCACGGCTTATATCGAATTCCATCCTGCCCAAACCTGATTTGCGACTGAAACTTTTCCCGCGATAAGATGGCTCTCAGGACCCATCAAAACCACGCCCTACAAGAAGGACGGAAATTGATTCCTGCCCTACTCTCAGCTTGTGCGTAGGTCGAACTGTCTGCCCGGCAAACCGTGGACTAAAAAGAAAAAGAAAGAAATAGGAAGAAATAAAATTATCGACGCTCGAATCTACGCTGTAATAAATGAGCCAGTTGAAAAAGTGAAAAAGACAGATTAAAAAATTAATTACTAAAATTAAACACTAGATAACATGGTTGTTATTTTTGTTGCAAATTATGACAAATTAGATTGAGTGTGTATGAACTTAGAGTGCGCTGTTTAAATTTGTACATTGTTGTAGGAAGATACTGCGGAAGAACTTGAGCTCGTCGCCCGGAACGAAAGGAGGCCAATCCCGTGAGATAATTAATGGCTCATCCCTCTCCCGAGTGATATATAATTACAATTTAGTATTACGTAGGCGATGATTTTGAACGTTTCTCATATCGTCTTAATCGTTCGAAATAATCTACCATTTTTAAACATTTATACAAGTGTAATTTATGCCTGACTGAAAGTCGATCATTTCGCTTGATTGAATTCGCCGCGCATTTCCGACGACGGCCTTCAATTTAAGTAACGTCAATCCAATAGCCGAGTTTATCATTTGTATCTTCTCGAGTAGGAAAGGGTATCCTTTTCGTCGATTCGCTCATGCGGAATAGATAAAGTTATTCTTGCGAAACTTGCGAATGTATACTTTAAGCATCAGTGAATGCTAATAGGAATTTATGCTAATAGGAAGTTGTGTATTATATCGATAAAATAGCTGGAGAGATACATTAACTACTCTATTGTACTTTCTTGTACCGCACGATATTTCTTGTAGACCAACAACAAAGGTAATATGTTGAAACCCTCGAAAAGTACAAGATGGAAAATTTACGAAGATAAATGAATACATGAAAAGTTATACATTGTACTGACGGTAAAAAATTCAAAAGTTACAAAACAGATGCAATATAATGTTAATGTGCTGGAATAATTGTATTTAAAAAAAAGGATCTAATTTTTCAAGCTGTGCACGTACGCTCGTCTTTTTGTATGCAGTTCTTGCGCTAACGTCCCAGACACATTTCTGATTCCACCAAGATTCCTCGCCGCGTTTCCAGATAATGGCGTACGTGCTAATCGCCTTATCTCGCGTGGGCGATCCAGGACACGGGCGGGAAGATGATATATAGAGGCTTCTTCGGGTGGGAAAAGGGAATTTTTTCGGCGGGGCGCCTTTACCGAGCCACGAGAAGCTACAGGTCGATCGATGGAATTTATTTCAACGCTTGGTCGTCACGGGCTATAAATTCGATTGCTAAATTTGCTGCAGAAGCCAAGTTGTGTCAGGGGAGCCGTACGTGGAGCTCAACTGCTTATTGCTACTAGATTTCGATTCTAGACTTCGATTCCTCACATTCATGCGAAGGCGAACTGCCGCGAAATATGAGACCGACGAAATTCCGCGCATGAAGAAGAGAACCCGATTGGAACTCTTCCAAGGCGAACGGATGGCGACGGGCAATCTGCGAAGGAAATTTGTCCCGAGAACAAGTGTTAACAAAGACAAGGTTGGCCCTCGGGGCCTTCCTCGACCTAATCAAACTAGCGAAAAGAACGCCTTGCCGTTCGTGCGGGTACGACTGCCGCAACTCGCCCTCGTTGTTCAAGAAAGGGGAGCTAATGAAGAAAAGTAGAGCGAGATTTCTGGTTGCCCGCACGAACGTTACTTCTAACGCGATTGTTACTTTGGCAGCATTTTTTTTCTAGTTATGATTTGTAACTCGAGATTTATCCGATCTCGATTATTAATATTAAGAATCGCTGTAACATGTTACGACGTTGTTAAAACGTAGAATTTCCTCTTCGTCTGGTACATTGCGAGTACCATGATCTATCTTTATAACGCAACTGTGCCGTTGCAAGTAATAAAATGATTTATACCTCGATAAGCCCGGTTTAATACAGGGCCCAGATGCCTCCGCAAAGTCGGCTTTTCCTCTGCGAGACCCGTGTAGCGGACAGTCTCGCGTCCGATAATTGTACGATAGTATGTTAAAATTAATGCTGGTAATTTGCGGTTTGCCGACACACGCAGTTTGCCATTTCGGGAGTAATTAAAGGCCAATAATTTTCATTTGGTACATCAACTACTCACTAATAGCAGGACAGTGAGTACGTTATATATTGATAATATAAGCGCTGCGAATTAAAGTTTAACTAAATTATAAAATTTATGTGAAGTCAAATTAATATTATTAATCGCACATGTAATCTCTTTGCATTATCGAAATGTATAATATTTGAAAAGTTTTCGCGGTACTCGGGAGCTTTTTACACAGCGAAAGCTATTGATTCTTGGATATTTTAAGAGCCGCCGTCCTTTTTAGTTCGGCTTTGAATATCTCTAATCCGGAGAGAAAAAGAGACTGCGCAATTTACGGAGCGTACACGATATGCCCCACCATCGGATTAATTAGCACGCGAACCTACATTTCGAAGCCGCTGGAACTGGCGCGCGTTCGCGTGCGGGGTAAAAAGCGCGTGCGAGTAAGGCAGTGAGGACTTTAAAGGATAAACATCTCAGTTCGTTGGCACCCTTAGAGTCCAGCTCCAGCTGAAAGAGAAGGGAGAAGAGAGTCGACCGTCGGCGGCAACGACGGCGCCGACGTCGGTGGTGCTGGTGGTGGTGGTGGCGGCGGCGGCAGCGGCAGCGGCGGCGGCGGCGGCGGCGGCAGGAAGGGGTAGGGCTGAACGCATCCCTGCCAGATCGGCTACCTGCCTGCCGCCAACCCTGTCCGTTCCGCGACGCTACCCCAGTACTCGGGCGATCGCTAGCACCCGCGCACGCGACATCCCTCCGTCGGGGGTGCGCGCCACGGAGTGTCTCTATGTATGTGTGTGCGTGCGTGCGTGCTCGCTGAGGGTGCTGCCGATCGCAGTGGCAGCCACCAACGTGGTGCAGCCAGCGGCGTGACGTAGCCACCCCGCGTGGCACGCTAATAGCTCGATCAACCCTCGCCGCCCGTGCCGCGCGAGGGTCACGGGGTGCCTAGAAGCGTCACGACCTCTTGTACTAGGCGCACGAGAGGAGCTAGCCGCGGGCCTCTCTGGTCAGCATCCGCGAGATAGGGGTAGAATGTAGCGTCGCAGTAGTAAATGTGTACGGAAGAGTCGGGAGTAGTGAGTAATACACATGAGCGAGTATTGTCTTAGGGCGGCGAGTAACAGTGTCCGTGTTTGCGTGTAACAACAAGCACTCGCGCTCGCTCGAGAGATTTGTTACACTCTGCTTCAAGTCTCTGCCTCTTTGTCTCGTCCCCTTTCTCTATTCGTCACGGATATGTCTCTCGCATTTTCAACAGAGTCTACCTCTTTCTTTACGAGGAACAAAATTTTGACGATCACACTCGTGACGTCCTCGCCGCGGGATCCGAGATTCCGCATCTCACCGCTTTAACCATAATCCTTTCTTCGGACAGGTTTCTGAAAGTTGATTGGCAAGAAAAAGTATTTCGGGAATGACAGGAAACGACGGCATCTGTTTTCGCGATGTCTCATTTTCTAATACATCATCTGCCTGTCGCTTTTTTTGTTCAACTACCCCCTCGTGTACGCTTTGTTTCGGCGCCTTTTACCGCTTACGAAATATCACGTGTATCCTCGAGATAACTTCTCCCTTTTTCCCTGGCGGAATCGCAAAAACGGTTGGTTTGGGAAGGTGCTCGGGGTCCGCGGAAGAAGGATTGCTTGGAAAAATTGGGAGCGACGTGAGCAGATTGGGTATTACGTCACGGTGGACCTGGCGAATAAATTAGGACGATGCTCGGAGATAGCCAAGGGGCAATTTGAAGCTCCGAGGTCTGCCCTCGCGTTTTCCCGTGTTCGCAGATCCCGCTGGTGATACGGACGAGATCGCGGGATCGTTGGATAGTTCAAAGCGCGGGAAAGTCCCCACATAGACCAGCATATTCACGTAGTATCGGGGTGGCTTTATGGTCAATCGGCCGCCAAAGCCTATTGATGTCTATCGGTTGCGCTAGCCGACCGAGTCCTTCAGACTCGCTTTGACGTTAGAGGCTAGAGCGATGATGCTTGCCAACGAGCCACTTCACTCGCTCCATCGTTCACCGCTTTTTATGACGAGAGGAATTTCACTCTTCTCTCGCCACGTTTGAATCGAAGAGAGAGTTCTCTAAAGCATCCTCCTCCGAGTTTGTTGAAAATGAGATTAGAAAGATAACGTTCTTGAAATTTACAAAACGATATTTAGGAACTTCTTCAAGAATAATTTATATTCGTTGCTAAAACGTTGCGGTGCAGCAATTTTTGCGTTCAATCGNNNTTCACCGCTTTTGAAGAGAAGAGGAATTTCACTCTTCTCTCACCACGTTTGAATCGAAAAGCAAATTCTCTAAAGCATCCTCCTCCAATTTTGTTAAAATTAAGATTAGAAAGATAACGTTTTTTAAATTTATAAAATTATATGAAGAATTATTTAACGCCAGTAATTGATTAACCAATGTAGAAAATTGCTTGACGACGCTTGGCTGGCAAATTCTAATTAAAGGTTAATCAATTACTGGCGTTAAATAATTCTTCACGTTATTTATACACCTTGACCGAATAATAGTGTCCAGGGTGGAGGGGAGGGTATGGAACGGGAATACTTAAATATATTCGTTATTTACGTTAACTATATTCGTTGCCAAAACAATTTTTGCGTTCCATCATTCACCGCTTTCCAAGAGAAGAGCAATTTCACTCTTCTCTCGCCACGTTTGAATCGAAAAGAGTGTTCTCTAAAGCATCCTCCTCCGAGTTTGTTGCAACTGAGATTAGAAAGATAACGTTCTTTAAATTCATAAAATTATATTTAGGAACTTCTTTAAGAATGATTTATGATCGTTGCTAGAACGTTGCGGTGCAGCAATTTTTGCGTTCCATCCTTCACCGCTTTTTAAGAGAAGAGGAATTTCACCCTTCTCTCGCCACGTTTAAATCGAATAGAGAGTTCTCTAAAGCATCCTCCTTCGAGTTTGTTGAAACTGAGATTAGAAAGATAACGTTCTTTAAATTTGTAAAATTACATTTAGAAACTTCAAGAATAATTTATCATTTATTACTGTGCTCGTGTGCAATATCTTGTTAAGCCTATGACGTATAGTAAACCTAAATCATCCATATTAGGACAATCTTTCCAAATGAGCCGATAAAACGGATTTTGGTTATTTATCGACCCTTCGTAAACATTCCTGGAACGCTCTTCAACAATATGCAGAGAATATTCAGTGCTCATGTATTGTTCGAGACTATTCAAGGCATTCAAGAATCCAAAACTTATCGGGTATAATAGTTGAATCGCTCAGTAATTCCGACGTAGCTGTACACATAGTAAAATAATTTTTAATTTCCAATATTTTAGGAGGGTCCAACGTTTTCGAAATTTATTTCACGGAACTGGAAGACTCCGATTGAACAGTAAACGATTACCCCCTGGAATCTCGCCGATAAGAGATCTCAGTATTGGACATTTTCCAATCCCAGTTTCTCGGGATGATTTCCTCGCGATCCCCCGCATTCTAGCCGGACGTGGGCCGCGTGTTTCGACCGTCCTTCGCATTGCGTCGTACAGAGGAACGGGGTCATTAGCTACGTACGTGGGCATAGCCGGAATGGGTCGTGGGAAATCGTCGGAGCAGAAACGACCACCGGCGCGATTCTGATTTCGTCTCGAGAGGGGCCGGTCGATCCATCACTGTTGCCGCTTCAAGGCTTTGCCCGACGGCAATGTCTCAACGTAGATCGTTCCGATCGGCCAGGTATCTCGGTAACCGCGACTTCGTGTTTGCGAAACACGCGAAAGTACCTACCGGAGGCTGATGTATCGCCAAACGATACTCAAGCGTGTGTGTCGGGTGATTTAAAGTCCGAAGGACTTAAAGTTTCTCGAGGAGGGCTGAGGGTGTCGCAGCTGATCGCGGAAAATCGATGGACGATCGAGGAAGATTGTCTTTCGCCGCGCTAAAACTGTACCCACCGGAGGGACACTGAGATTTCGAAGAAGAGATCCGCGAGACAGCGTCGGCAAGCGGGTTCTCCGGGTGCTTTCGACATCCGCGCGTGCATACCTGCCCGGCGAACAGTGGCTCCGATTAATCATCCCGTAAAGCGGACACTTGTGGAAGAGATACTCGCGTATGATGGAAACGCGAGCGCCGGCGGAGCCGCTGGAAGAAATTTACGGCCACCGTGGGGAATCATCCGTTTCATCGGGCACGGCGAATCATCTGATATTTGCCATCAGATAATGCACGGCCATCGCCGATAATGGAGCGCGAATCCGGCTAAGACTCGCCTTGCGAAGCTGACCGTTGCAGCCGAGAACGGCTCGCCGAACATCGATTGGCTCCGGGCAACAGAACGAATCCAGACTCCTTCCTGACGGGGCGAGCTCGTGCGATCGTATCCGCGGGATCTTTAATCGACGCGACTCTGGACCCGCGGTAGCTATGAGGAGAAACTGGAACGAATAAAGAATCATCGATAGTTTGTCCTTCTCGCCGCTCGCTTGTCAGTGGACCAAACGAAACTGAGTCGGACACCGTCAGGAAGATGCACGGAGGTATCGAGATATTTACATAAATTGCGCATATCATTTGGCACGCGAGAGAAATAGAGGCGGGCGTCCCTCCCGCTCTCGTTTCCGACTCGGCGGAGAAGCCACGCGAGGGGAGAGAGAGAGATCTCCCTCGCACGGTGTGCACACGGTAGGAGGAACACTGGCTGCTAATGCGGACGTATTGGAACAAGGGTGATTACCAGCTTTTACGCGGCTTGTAGCTGCTATCGTTACCGGGGAAGAAGATCGTTAGCAGCGTCGCCCGGAAATCCCGCGGAAGATTAATGAACGGTGCGGTCGGCGAAGTGGCGTCGCGGCGATAGGGAACCGGTAGGGAAACAACGTCGCAGCACTCCCGCGTTTCCTCCCTGTCTCCGGTCCAGCTGCAATCGGCGACGCGGCTTGATGCTGTCGCGCTTCCTGCAGGAGCTGTCGTCAGCGGACAACAGGAGCGCCGTCGCGGCGAAACGGAAGGAGGAGGGCTTGTGATCGTTTCGGCAGCGGGCCGATCGGTCCCGCGACGCAGCCGATCGCGGTAGCGCGGCGGCGATCGCCACGATCGCCGCCGATGAGGCCGGCGATGTGACGGCGACGGCGGTGGCGAAGGCAGGCGAGGAGATGACGGTGACGGTGACGCCGTCGACTTCCGACGTCGCCGACAAGGCGGTGTCGACGGACGACGGCGGCAGCGGCGGCATGGAGGTGGCGCGTCTCGAGGCCGTCCTCGCCGCCCTGGTGGAGACGAAGGTGGAGGCGATGAAGGCGTCGTCGACGCTCAGCCGGCGATCCGGCAGCGCGCCCGCCAGTCCGCGTCGACCTAGATTGACCTCGACCTCGACGGCCTCCTCCTCATTGAACCATCACCACCACCATCACCACCACCATCATCACCATCATCATTCGCAGCAGCAGCAGCAGCAGCAACAGCAGCAGCAACAGCAGCAGCAGCAGCAGCACAATAAGAAGGGTCAGCATCATCAGCACCACCGCCATCGTCGCAGACGTCACGACTCCGCGCCCTGCGGAAGTGACTACCTCAACAACGCGACGGATCATTCTCAACACAAGTTGTCTAACGGTAAGAGAGTTGTTATAGGTCGCAGTACGATTGGCGATAATTAGTCCGAACTGTTTCAACGTGAGACATGTAACCCGAACAACTTGAACGCCTTAATGTTCACTGGTAGTGTTTAACTTGAACGTTGACGGAAACTTGCGAGTCCTTTGCACACGAAGATATTGGATTTATTCAACTACACGCGCGAGTCTGAATAAGAGATGGGTTTCTAATGTGAGATAGCGGGTTCTACGGTCTAACAATGAATTTTCCACTAAGCAGATTTCCCTCCGAGAGCAATAAATCCATGGTGGAGAATCAACTGATGATAGTTAATTTAACAGAAACCCCGCTATCCCATATTAGGATCCAATCTAATAATACGGGATTTTCCTCTACGTTTAGTTGAATATGAATACATTGTAATGAGTAAAAATAGTAGCACATAGAGTCGGCGCAGAAAAATAACGAAAACATTCGCAGCGTTAAGCACCAATGAAGGCTAAGCGGCAGTCGCTAACCGTCCTCCCTCTGTTTGCCAGGAAGGGGACGGAGAAGAGCCTCCGAAAGTCCTCGAAGCCCTCGAAAGAAGCGCAGGCATTCGAGGAGCCCAAATATTCTTCAAGGCGTCGTCCAAGACGTTCACGCCGGCCTCGATTCGCGCTTCGAGCTGCTCGGCATTGACGGCGACCAAGACGTGGCGCTAATAAATTTCGAAAGGGCTAAAGAAGTCCTCGGCGACTCCTGCGAATATCCGCGGCTGCACCGAAGTGCCTGCTACTTTTCTCAAAGCGCAGCTCAATTGTGAGTACCTCAAGCACAAGTTGAACGCGAAGATAACGCGCGCGCGCGCGCGCGCGCCAGTGCCGGTAGGATAAGCTTTCAATGGATTTTCGTAGAGGGAATAAGATTTTTCTCGCATCCGAGTCACGCTGTCGAGGTATTTTCTCAACGCTGAGAATTAGGACGTCGCGAGAAAAACGCCTTCGCTAGGAACAAATCGACTCTAAATTCCACCGGCTTAGCTTCTCTCGCGGAAATTCGCGGCGTCTCAGGGAATCTCCGCGTGTACAACTTTGGCATAGTTTCCGCATGTAAGGCCGCGTAGCTCTGCAGCGGCAGCCTCCTCCGTGACCGCGAGCTCTCGCTCGCCGTCCTCTCGTTTACCGGGTCGCCGGGAGTGTTGCCGCGGCTCCTCGTCCTTCTTTCATATTCGATCGGCCGACCACGAGGAGAGAGAGAAAGACACGGTTTCGGTGAGCCAGCGTGCTCGGCGGAACTGGGTCAGCGCGGTGCGTGGTTGTGCGCCTCTGTCACATGCCGCTCTCGGCAAATACGGTTTGGCGGCTGAGCCACCTGGGCGACAAAGGACGAGAGCGCCATTGGAGCGTGTAATGAAACCGGGGAGATAGCCAGCGGCGATTAGCGATCACGAAGAGGTGTCGTCGCGCCAGCGCGTCTTCCCTTTTCTTTTTTTTTTATTTGGCGAAACGATTTCTAAAATTACACGGAGCACTCGACGACTTTTAAGTACGCGACACGATCGTGGAAAGAGACCTCTCATAGCTGTTTTGTATTGATTGCTTCAGTACTGAAATTTTTATCAATAAATTCCAAAAGGTATATACATACCTTTCGCATCGCGGATAAAAGTACATTTAATTGATCAGGTATTGTAACACATTGCTCCAGAAATTAATATAAATTGCAATAAATCGCTGCAAAAGTGAAACGTTTAAAAAATTTTTTAATTGCATTATTAAATTAAATTGTACGCGGTCCATACTGTTCGATTAAATGTAACGTGACGACAAGAGCGCCCTAGAGATATATATATTGTACATATGCAAGATCGTGGGATAACATATCTTGACAGTTATCAAATAACTGTCCGATATATCGCGGAGGCGATATTAATTGAAACATTTTTTTGCGCGGGAATATAGCTGCCAGACTGATTCAACATCGACGTTTACTACTTGATACGGTGCTTTCTCGATACGATTAAATCCGCTAGTATATCAATTTACCTTTCTCTCTTTTTATCGAATATCTCCTCTTAATTGAATATCCTGTCACCGTAGGTAGAGGCTTCTATTTATAAGCTTTTCGCGTTTCTCCCGATAAGCGTTATTAATAGATGAACTTTGGATATAATATATTTATAATGTCCAGGAGTTAACTTTATCGCCGCGGAATAACGAAAAACGTGGTCTCGTATCCCGAAAGATTCGTAATTTCTCTTGAACGGACGCGGCGAAAAATGCAAACGGCGACAATGCTCGAATCGGCCTGAATCGCCATTGTCCGACCGCACGTCGGCTGTTATCACTACTTGGAATTTCATCCAGTCCTCCACAATGCACCGACGCCTCGGTTATCGTTTTTCCACTTTTCCGTCCTATTCCAGCGGCATTTTCTAAAATTATACTCAGAGAGCGCGTGATGGCCTTCGTGTGTGTGACGTAGATAGTGCAACGATTGTTCTTTGTTCAGCTCGATATCGAGGTCTGCCTCTCGTTGGCTGTTGTGAACGTATATCGAATTGCTGGCCCGCTTTTCCGTAGTACGTTACCGAGCTTCGATGCTGCAGTAGGGAGCAAATTGAAGAGTTTTACCGCAAATTCATCAGGCAGCCTCGTCCGATGCTCCATATTACCTTTGATACGTCAGCAAAACTATACATAGCTCTATCACGCGCTGGCTTTATTTTTATCAATGCATTTTTAATCATTTTTGCTCAATACCTTCCATATTTAATATCACGGAGACTTATATTCGCAGCCTACGTTTTTATGATATCTAATAACATATGTCGAAACGTTTTGACTTCGAATTTCAATTTCAGCTTCGAAGTATACGCGAAGACGTAGCTCACTTTCGCACATTGACGGTTAGTTAACTCAGCATCGTACGAAGGCGCGGCTGTTTTTTTCAAGCTTTCTTTTCTCTCGCGCCATTCAACTTTTTTCTCGATCAAAAACAGAGTAATTCCTAATTCTGTGTCTCGATTGTGGGTACCCGGTGCATAACAATGAACGTCGGCCTTTCAGTCACCGCCACCCGCGTGCGGCAAACAGCAACTTCTCGAGATTCACGAACAATGCAGGTACCACGATGATCGATACTCATTCGTCGCTCGCCCTTTTTCGAGCCTTTACAATCGCCGCCGGAATCAGAAATGTACCCCGCTCTTCGTATTGCGGACGAAGTGTGAATGAATGTAGATTTTAATTAAGGACGGCGTATCGATAGCCCGAGACGTCTTATTCAGAAACTGAATACGAAATCTCATTGTCAGACAGACCGAGAAGAGACAAAGTTAGTCGATTCCTATTAAACAATCTCTCTTGTTAAAAAACAAACTGGAACTCTCGTTTCTCGAGAGTTTTGTTTTTTTCAACAATTCGCGAATTCATATCGACATTTGTTTTCTATTATCAGACAAGTTCATCAACGGGAGAAAAAGTCCGTTCTCGTGTGTCCGCGCGAGATGCGCAAGAAAAATGTTATTTTTCAATTTAAATTAAATGTCAGACGCAGCCGGAGTGCTGGCACGTTTCATTTCCCAAACGGTATTGATCGAGAGTAACGATTCGATGAACAACGGTAACAGCCGCCGTCGCGGAAACAATAGCTCGGTATATTATTCGTGCGGTTTTTGCATGCGCACTTTTCAAAGCGAGTCGTCGCTCACTCGACGCTTCCCAAGTAAACTTGTATACGAGCGGAGAAGAATCCTCGCTGATCCTCTCATCTTCTTCCAGAAAAATTCATTACGACGACGACGACTACGTGGCGTTGAACGTAGCCGACGAGCTGGAGGAGGAGGAGACTCTAAGCGGGCCGGAGAAGGTGGACGAGTCTCAGGGAAGGTATCACCGACCACGAAGAAAGCGCAAACGTAAACGACGCAAGATCGAGCCCGTCGATCATCCGGACGAGGAACTCGTCGATCCGGAGGAGCTGCCGCCTCGCGCACGCTGGACGATCGTCGCGACCGCTTGTCTTCTGCTCGCCATGTCCTTGCTCCTGGTCGGTGTTACGCTACGAATGGCGCCTATAATTGACGACATGGGTGAGTCGATTGCTACGACAAATCTCGCGTCTCTGATCAAACGAGAATCGAGCGTTGCGCGTTCGTCGCATTTAGGCCCGTCGTTTAACTTTGAGCTTAGCTCAATTCGTTGTCTCTTTCCACCTGTTTACTTCAGAAAGAGATAAACACGATTTAAACTATAAGGATTAAAGCTAAGAGACGTTCGGCGAAACCGGGACTCAATAATATATTTTTATTGTATCGTCCGCTTTGTTGCGCTGGCGACCAACTTTTTCTTCTTTTTCAAATTTGTGGAAAAGACTGCGCACTCGAGAAGGTCTCTTAGAAGGGATTCCACGCTCGACAAAACGCGTCTGTTTTCCCGACGATTTTATTAGAACGCGATAAAGCGTGCGATTTATTACGCACTACGAACTTTTCACGGGCGGAAAGCCGTTCGGTGGTTGACGTGATGCGTCCGAAAATAGTAGCTAAATAGTAGCGCGGATTTATACGTTTGAGAAAGCGTGGGAGAAAATCATGCCGGATTACCGGCGCTAAAATATGTAAGACGGTCCCGAGGGTGGCAACCTCCGGATGAAGTTGCAAAGCATTAATGATTTAATGCATCTTTATTATACAATCCCGTAGCACCTGGAGAAACGATATTGTCGTTCAAGCGGATCCGATTAGGTGCATCGCCAAGTTCTCGCGAATCCAGATTCGATTAATCCTCTTATCATTTGAAATTTCATAGAGTTTCTTTCCCGTTGAGATTGACATTAACTGTCTTCGCAGAAAATTTCTCATTATTATATTATTTCTTATAACTTGTATACGGTATATTTTCAGAACAATTACAGATTAATTTGAGTAATTGCATAGTTTGATGAAAGAATTAAAATATAAAAAAGGCATTTTCGAAGAATTTTGTGAGAGTTTTTGAAATTTTACCATACATTTTACTAGCGATTGTACTTCCCTTGGAGAAATATACTTTAGAAAACTTTAAAATTTTACTTTAGAAAAATAAGAAATATGAAAGGTAAATTTGGACACTTGAAACTTTTATTTAAGGTACACTTAAAACTTACTCTAGCGGGAACTTCGACGGGCTTGGCTATCTAAAAATTACTTTAAGTGTCGAAAATTACTCTAAAATTTCTTAAGTAAACTCTTAGATTTGAAAGATTACTTTTAATAACTTTAATTTCATTTAAAGTAAATCTTCCCAAGGATTAGTATACATTGTACTAGTAGAATGTATGATAAAATTTCAAAAAGTCTCATAAAATTCTTCAAAATGCCACGATCAGATGATTTTCAGGGTAAATTTTAGGAGAGAGTTCTGTCCGTGTATTATAAAACGTCTTTCTAATCATTTTAAGCGGTATACACGTAACTGTCTAAACTATGTGTCTGAGTTCTCCAATTTTCGCTGTAACAATCTCCGTACCTACAGTGTTACATGACTAATTATGATGAAGTTAACGTTCACGCTAATGTGTGAAGTGACATAAAGCTAGCGTTCGGTAATTTGGTCATGGTAATTGCCAGGTTAATTTCGACGCGATAACGGTTCGGTCGCCGTCGTTAGCGGTTTGGTGGTGAACGCTTTCCTTCCTGAAAGCCACAAAACCGCGTTTCATCGTACACTAGGTATGCGAACGGTCGATGGTTCTCCGAACCGTTCCCCCTCGTGAAGGGAAAGGGGATGCACGGGGAGGTCAATTAGTTGGTGGCATTACGGCGACTGATGACACTCCTGTGCGAATGTTGCATCCGACAACGGAGGTACTTCTCTCCGCCTCGAGCCTACGTAAGCTGTAAAGCGTGCAGGGTGCACACGTACGCGTACAATACACGAATTCCCACTGGCACAAATAAGCCGCGTGCAGCGTGCGAGGTCGAGGGCGCTCCGCGTTTCTAAATTAAAGGCGCGCGTCTGCGAATCCTCCAGTCAGCCGTCGGATTTCCGCAGCTAAGCCACCTTGAAGCTCGCACTCGTCGTTCCACGGGGAAAAAGCTCGCCGAGAGTCGTTTTCGACGGGCGCGGGCGTCGTCTTTGCTTTACGGCGCCGGCAAAGTGTCTCGCTGATCCGTAGTGTCGTTGATCCTGCAACGGCGACCGTGTGCCGCAGGATACAGGATGTTACCCCCGCGGACGAACGCGATTACAGCCCCATCGGTGACCTCCCCGTGGTCCGTGATCGGGTGCACCGCGCGAGAAATGGAATTAAAGTTTCGACCAGTTCCCACATTTCCGGCGCCCGCGTTTCCCTCCCGCGATGTGTAATTGTTGGAGCGGTTCTACGGGAATTAACTCTCGTATCTCTCCTTCTCTCTCCCGCTCTCTCTCTCTCTCTTTCTCTCTTTGAGAGGAAACAATTTCCTGGACATCCGTGCTCGGGAGCAGTAAGGCAGAAATAAAACCGCCGGAATCGCCGGCGGCAAGAGCAACGCGATTTTAACGCTTCGAGATTCTAAAGATCGCTAACGGCCGTTAAATCGCTGACACCAGTAACGTTTATGCGCCGGTAAAAAGGGTGTCCCATTGTAGAGATTAATTATCGTCGAGCATTCGTGGAAACTTCGGCCTGCGACTGGAGTTTGATATTCAGACGATATTTTTCAAACACTTGTCGCCTCAGCGCGATAATAATGTTTATTTACCGTAATACTTGTTGGATTTCTTTTACGGGCTATTTACATCAATTCCGTTGAAATATATTAAAATTTGCATTTTTTACAACTGCTAGTAGCCACCGGCGATATCCGATTCCGATAGCGTCAAAGTGCGGATGACGTTGTATAAATACACCATCGCGCGCGAAATCAACAAGTCAGAGTCGATACTGAAACTTACACACGGTTCAAACGATGTTTCTACGCCGAGAGATTTGCGGAAGCGGATGTCATCGTGTGCGGTAGGTCGGAAGCGTTGCGGTATTATTGATCTGGGGAGAGATGAGATTATTAATCTTTCGTTTGATGATCCCCGCAACAGGCGTTTGATAATATTTAACATCGCGGCTGATAAACTCGCAGAAATAAGCCCGCGGTGGAATGATTTCAAATCGTGCGCGAAATTAATTTTTCAAGCATCGCGCAAAGTGTGGGGAAATTAATTTTTGTGTACCTCTTTATCTACTCGCTCGCACAGTTCGTGCCGCTTAAACTCATTTTCTTGTCGCCACGTCTACAGATACATTTCTCTTGAACGGGAGTTGCTATTAAACAAAGTTTCTAAATCTCGCGCGAAATGTCATAGAAATGTTAATCTTCGTGAGATCGTGTCGCAAACGGGAAAATTATTAATTGGCTGTGTAAACACCCGGCGACATTTGTGCGTTGTATCAAATCTGCTGTAGATTTCAATTATCCGCGCTGCATAAGTGCCGCTCACATGTATTCACACACGTATACGTATATAAAATTGATTAATTATTTTTACATATAATTGAATTTTTACCAAACACCGGGTTTCAACAGTTAGATGTATCGGATGTTGCCTCGCGCTCCAGCGCGGAATTGTTTGCAAAAATGGTGCCGTATTGATTCGCGCCAGATACGACGTTCCTTTGCGTTTGCTCTGCCGACGTCAATATCCACAACGTTTTAATTGAATATATATGTTCCTCGTCACGCGGATTTATAGCCTTTACATTTATCATAATTTCGAGAGCAACGTTCAGGCGTTTAACAAGTGTACAACCGCGTCATGATTAAGTGAAATTATAAGATTAACGTTTTTTTCGCAAAAGGGATACGCTCTCCCTTGATGAATATTAAGTAATGTGTACTATTAACTTTAACGTCCCTGATTTTATATTCAGGTTTTTTAAAACGTGCTACACATCTCTTAACATAAATAGAGGAAATTCTCCATTATGCGATAGGCTTCTAATATGAGACAGCAGGTTTTCAACGTCCAAATTCAATCACAAGTCTTTTGTCGCGATTACACGATTAAGACGATCTGACAATCAATTATCCACTAAACAGATTTCCCTCCAAGGGCAATAAATTCATGATGGAATCAACAGCTCCGCCATCTCATATTAAGAGCCTATCTCATAACAGGGGACTTTTTTCTGTATTTGCTTCACGTTACGTTTTTTAGAGCATTCTGCAAAGACATTTATTCCGTTCGTAAGAAGGGAGCGGGTTGAGTTAACTGAGTTTCAAGGCAAATTTCAAGCGAGCTCTGACGTCCGCGAATTTGAGGCAATAACGGAAGATCGCTGCCGGCCGCCTGTAATCGTTGCAACGCGCGATCGGCAAAATTACCGGGCGTCGTATTGATCTTGAATTCGCAAGATGACTTTCTGCACGCAAATTTCACGGAAGGCATCTCGTTTCGGCACTTTACGGCATCGCGTTTACATCGTTTCGCGCTCACGGCGAAAATCAGGTCAGGCCTGAACACCGCGCTCGATTTTCGCCACCGTTCGATTTTGACGTTGCACGTCATTAAAGGGTACGGATATAGAGCTGATCGTCATTGCTGACATTTGGTTACACCCACAACTGTTGCAGTTGATTCATTACGATCATTTCCTCGTCAATCGTGCGTTTCGCGCGCACTGGATCGAGTGATCAATCAATTAGCGGTCTTTAATTACTTCCACCTGCCAATTGTATGCTAAATCCTTTGAGTTAATCGAATCCCGAACAGAGCCCCATAATTCCGCTTGGTACATTTTCCGCACTCGGAACTCGCTGTGAAAATCCGCTCGCTGAATTCGCCGCTCTCTTAACATCCACCGGGAATTTGCATGTATTAAACGGCAAATAAAGTTTTACATTTTGTTCCTCGTGCGCGAAAACCGCGCGCGTATTAAAGTCGGCCCCGGTGGCGTTGCGACTCTGAAGCGTTAATGCCGCATTGCTTTTACATCGTGCCCCGGCGCAAAATTGCACTGCGAAGTGCGTGAATTTTTCATTTCGCTGTCATGCGGGCCGGGGCGGGGAAGGGGGACAGGTGAAATGGAGACCGGCGGGGATGGGGTTAAAATTTTTAAAGGGCGCGCCGCTGCTTATTTCCGCAAAGCTGTTACGGCCGCCGCGCCGGCCATTATGCTTGCACGCAGTGCGCCTCGGCAGTATCGTAAAGCAATGCGTATCGATCTTGTGCAGTTAGGAGATGACATCTACCGTGCAAATTATACGCGTCCGGTATTTGCATAACGGGCCGCGACAATTCGCACGGCCGCGGCCGCTGCGTCGTCACGCGTGAGCAGATGACACCCACG